TGGATGGCAGGTTCACTTTTGATATTGCTTTAGGAACATTGAAAGATAATCTTCCTCCCAATTTGGACTTTGGAGTCTATCGGATCTCAAAATCAATTCTTTATTGAGGACATTATTGTGCACTGGCTCGTCCGAATAAGATTTGGTTGGGAGCTTCAAATCCCTTGGATTAGAATTCCTCAAATGCATGACCTAGATCTGAATTTGGTGTGTCAATAGATTTGTAGCATTTTTGAGCTCGAATATTTTATTTGTTGAATGTTGTTTTGAAATGGTGGAGTCTGTTTTACAACACTTAAAAGTCCCTTTGCCCCCTCAAAATTGGTTTTGGGGTGAGGAACGTAATCTTTTAATGTTCCGATAGGAACATTTACAGTTTTTTCCTTTGTGTCTGTAATCCTAATAATGTCTTCTAGAACACCAAACTTGGCGCTTCCCCTACATCAAATACCAGTTTTGAGGTGCGGAGGGATCTAAAAGACTTTCAAATCATTCTCGCACTCCAAAAACACTTTCTGAAAGGGAATCAATTGGGAGCTTCAAAAAATGCTCCAAATCCTTGGCCACCCTAAAATTAGATCCCCTACCACCTATATCAATGGGTGGTAGATTTGGGGGATTGATGTTTTTTGGATTGCCAAATCAAAAACTTTGAAGGGGGTTTGGAGATTTCTTGGGTCCCTCCAAACCTCAAAATTGGGTTAAGAGGCAATAGGTAGGGATCACCAAATTTGGTCTTTTGGGAGGAGCATTCTATCACTCACTCCTGTACACACACAAACACATTGTGAAAAGGTTTGGTCAATCCAATTTTCGTTCACCTACCATGCACCTTGGCCAAAACATAAGAAGAGGAACCTTTTTAACCTTATTTTTTGTGAAACTTATTCGAAGCGCTAGATGAACAAATTAGAAAAGAAAATGTTTTTTTGTTCCTAAGGGTCTGGTTTGACCATCCATCAAATAGATGGCTTGTGCTCACTGTTGGGATTGGGCTGTTAAAAACAAAACATTTTTATGGTGTGTTCATCTTCTTTTATTTTTTTATTTTTATTTTTTATTTTTATTGTTTGTTTGTTGGTATGAGAATAAGTGGTGTGCAAAAGTTTGGGTCCATTAAATACCCTTAACACATATTTTTGGCCTTTGCCGAACTCCTCCATGGCACACAAGTCCTCTCACACACACACACAAATATCTATAGAAATAGACACATATTGTACATATGAGATCATGACGTTTCATGCACAAACATGCCAAACCATGAAATATAAAATTGGACGGCTTATTTCTCTACATAAGCTCCAGTGGGAAATTCTCTTGGACTGCTACTCCAGTCAGTGGTACACCTCGAGTTGCTTGATTTCACATTGGAGCATTGTTTAAGAAAAGGTCCGCCCAACGCTTAGGCTCCCAAAGGGCCCTAGTCTGCACGTGTGGGCTTAGGTGGCCCTCGCTTGGCACCAATACTTGGGTGCCTGCCTAGGTGGCTCAGGCTGGCGCCCAACACCCAGTCCTTGGGCTAGCACCCATGGCCTAGGTCCTTTTTTGTGTAATAAAAGAGGCCCTTGAGGGCATTTTGGGCCATTTTGACCCACAAATTAGACTTAAAAAGAGTATTGGGGGGTATTCTACCCCCTCTGAAGTGCAGGGAAAAAAATCAAATTGAAAAGCATCCAAAAGATTTATTCATTATTATTGGAATTTATTTAGGGGCTAGTGAAGGTATTAGAAGAGGTTTGCGGTGAGTTCTAGCTCGAATGATATCAAAAACATCAAAGAACATAGATCGAGCAAAAATGTTAGTTTACAACCTATAGTTGCTATTCCTTTCTTGGATTTGAGATGTCTTCCCCAGGGTCTAATATGGGTGGGGATCTGGGATGGAAGTATTTGTTAACTCGGATAAAAATGTCAAAACAAAATAATGTGCAATTTTTGTGGACATCTGTCAAATGTCAAGATAATTAGGTTCAAGAAGCATCTTTCTGCTATTAGACGGGATATTGCCTCATGTAAAAAGTTCCCGATTTTGTAAAGAAAGAGTTTATTGGCTACATAGAAGTTGCAAAAAGTAAAAGATAAACAAAGGAGAAGGATATAACATAATTGAGGGCTGGGGTTAACGTTTTGGTGATGATGACACTGATGGAGATGATGGAGGGGAAGAGGAGGTGGGCCATGTGGCAGCCTCCTAGAGTTCTAAGAGGGGTTTTAGGTCTAAGAGACCTCATAGGAGAGGGCCCATTGATATTTTTTTTACCCCTAACATAGAGATTTCTGTTGAGAAAGGGAAAGGCAAGGGGAAGAACTAAGTGATGCCAAGAAATAGATATAAGAAGTAGGATAGAGGCCAGTTGATTTAGCATATTTCTAGGTTGTTTTATTATGAGGGCATTTTTTCTAATATTGCTCACTTAAGCAGCTTCCATACAATGTTGGAAACAATTGACCAATTTGGGCCATGGTTGGAAGGTGCAATCCCTTTTGAACTTTTAGAGCCACTGCTGAAGAAAGACAACATACTAAGGAGTACCTCAAGTCCCATAAGGATGGGTGGGCTCAATTTGGGGTTTCCATAATGACTGATTCATGGAGTAATTGGAGAAGGAGTATCATGAACCCATTGGTGAATTGTCCCTTGGGTACAATGCTTTTGAGATCCATTGATGCTTTTAAAAAAGTTCATGATGCCCATTATATATTCTTTCTTATTGTTAAGGGCATTGAGGAGGGAGGAGCTTGTAATTCAAGTGGTCGTGGATAATGCCGCTTCTGATTTAGATGCAGCTAATGTGCTTTGCCAGAAATAGTCCTTGCATATTCTGGACACCTTGCGCTGCACATTACATATACCTTATGCTTGAGGCTATTGGCAACTTGTCTAGTATTAAAGGGACACTTTCTAAGGCTAAGGAGGTCACAATCTTTGTATACAACCACACCATTATCCTCAGCATGATTGGTAAGTTCTCAGAAAAGGAGCTAGTGATGCTCAGTGTCATCAGATTTGCTACTGCTTACTTGTCTTAAGAGCATGTATAGTAGGAGGATCCCATTGAAATCTACGTTCACTTAAGAGGATTGGAGCACATGTAGGTGGTTTGGAGATACTAAAGGAAAGAGGGCCCGTGTTATTATTTTTTCTAAGTTTTTGTGGCATGGGGTAAAGCACTCGCTAGCAGAATTTGTACCCTTAGTCAAGGTTTTGCGCTTGGTTGATGCTAACAAGCCCTCTATGGGATTTATAGATGATGCACTGGAAGGAACTAAGAAGGAGATACATAGAAGTTGGGCAATGATGAGGCCAAATATGGCCCGATTTGGAAAATTGTAGAGTGTCAGTGGGATAGGCAACTTCATAGACTATTGCATGGACTTGGGTACTATTTAAGCTTGAAGTTTTTTATGCTGACCTAGATATTGAGAGGCAAGATAAAATCAAATTTTCAAAAAAAAAAAAAAAGAGAGAGAGGAAAGATAGAATTATGGATGGATTTAGTGAGTGCCTTTAGAGTCTAGTTCTTGAGCTAGAAATCCAAGATAAAATGTCTGCTGAGGAACTCATTTTGTACAAGTGTACTTTGAAGTCATTCGGGAAAGAAATGACAGTGAGACCAAGGACCAAATCAGATCTAGGTAATATATTTCATTTGGAATTTTCTTTCAAGTTCCTTATAACGAATGTTGTATTTTAAATTCTCTATTACGACGATGTTAAATTAATTATAAAGATTGCTCCCAAATTGCAGCCCAATGGTGGAGCTAGCATGGGAGTAGTGCTCTAGACCTCTTGAAGATGGGTATTAGGGTCTTGAGTTTGACCACTTACTTTATGGTTGTGAGCAGCAATGGAGTTTGTTTGAGATGGTATTTTTTGTTCTTTTCTTGCTACAAGTTTTTTCTATTTTGGAAGATAAAGACAAAGTACATTAGTACCGATTTAGATGACTTAATATGTAGTAGTAATCATGCATTTTTTTTTATAGGTGCATACAAAGAGAATAAATAGGCTTGAGTAAAGTAAGCTCAATGATTTGGTATTTGTTAGATAGAATCAGAGGCTTAAGGAGAAGTTTAATAAGCAAAAGAGGATCCCATTGTTTCGAAGGATAAGGAGAATGCTACTTAGTGGTTGGATGAAGACCTCAGTATTAAAGAAGTCTTTCCTTGGGAGTGTTTGACCTAGGATGTGGTTGAGGAGGCTACCGGTTTAGCTAGTAATCCTAGGAGGGCCACTCAAGCAACAAGTGTTACTGGTATTTCACAAGGGTGAGGGAGATAGAGGAGGAAGTAGATTCAGATGAAACTGAGGAAAATGAGCAATATGTTGAAGCGGGTGATGATTTTGATGATGATGGCCTCGATTCAAAAGGAGATGTAAGTAATTATGAAGATTTTGACTAATAACTATTGAAGAGACGAATATCTCCTCTCTCGTCTTTTGTATTTCATTTTGTCTTTGATATTACATCCTCTTGTATTGGACATTTGGATTATTGGTTTTATACTTTTATTGGAGACTTGGAGTCCATGTGACTATGTCTATGTGAGTGTAATTGTGTATCATGATCGTGTGTCAGTATGGAGTATGGGTTGGAGAGTTGGAGACTAACTTATGTATGATTTTTCACTAAATTGACAATGATTTGAAGTTTTGAATGTGTTTCAACATTCATGCATATGTATTTGCATGGAAAGAATTAGTCGGAATACATATTAATGCAAAAAAATGCAAAATTAACATAAATCTCTGCACATATATGCATTTGGACAGCATTATATGCATATTTCTAAATATTTTTCACCTAAAGGTGCCTAACGTTTTAGGCGCTGGCCTAGGGCCTGGGCGTTCAGGCCGACCCCCTAGGGGCTGCCTAGTGTTTTTTGAAACATTGCATTGGAGAATTATTAGTCATTTTGATGTGTTTGTACCAAAGGTAAATTGTCTTATTCAATGCTTTCCCAATGCTAATCCCCTTTGGCCATTTTGTGACTAGGTTTCCCGTTCTCTTGCTGCGTGTGAGGGTGCTCTTCTTGTTGTAGATGCTTCACAGGTAACTTGTTATTTGAATTTCTGTTTGTTCAATGGATTTGCATGAAGATCTTGGACTTCAGTGGAAATCTGATAAGCATTTTCAGGGATCTGTTATTGTCCTCAATGCTTAGAACTTTGTTAATGTACATTTCTTTTGCTGCAGGGTGTGGAAGCTCAGACACTGGCTAATGTTTATTTGGCACTTGAAAATAACCTGGAAATCATCCCTGTAAGCTCATGTCATGATCTTAGGTATCTTTCTGTTTTTTCCTTGCAATATTGCATCACTCAATGATTTGAGTTCTTAGAAATTGGTAAATTCATTGCTGGATGAAGTCGGAATGCATTAGTGTTTTTGATTAGGAGGGGTTGGTAGTGTGTTAGAATTTGTCCCAAAGTTGAATGTTTTATGAAAACTAATTTTCTTCTTAATAACCACATTTAGAATTTGTAAAATACAATTGCGGTTTAAATATTTAATTTCTTTTTTAAAATTTAGAAACATTATAGTTTCCTTCCAAAAATTTTGTTGTATGTAGTTTATCTTTGACCAATTTGAATTAATTTGAATTTCCTTATTATCCTTTGGTGAGAGTAAAGGAATTCTAGATAATTCTAGAATATTATGTTTAATTTGTCAAAATTTTAGATAGATTAGAAGTGGATATGGGTCAAATCTCAACGGATAAGGTTCCTAAAGATTCACTCTTGATCATGATGGCTGATCTTAGAGATGAATGACTCAGATTAAATTTTCTCTCACCTCACTGATCACCTAATAATCCTAGATAATGTTGAACTCAATTTGATTGAGACTCACTCCCTAAGCTTTACAGGCCTATAAATAGAGGGGCATCTCGCCCTTATTCAACACTGAACCTCTCCCTTCTCTCTCTCTTCTCCATGGCCAGATGCCCCTCTCTAACCTCTCTCTCATCTCTCTCTTTTTGTAGTCCTCTCTCTCTCTTTCACTCTTAAAAGGGGCATGCTTCCCTGCCTAAGTGCCTAGGGTGGTATGCCCAGCATGAAGAAGAGAGAAAAAGAGGGGGCATTCCCAGCCCTAACGTTACTTTTAGGGGAGGTGCTAATTGTGGCATGCTCCAAGGTTAAAAAATGGGTTCTTTGTGAAATCGTAATTGTGACCCTAGCTCTTTTGCTCCATTAATTTCAGAAAAAGAGTCTAATAGGTGCTTCTTGTTGGAATTATGTCATTTTAGGGCCTTAAATTTTGACATTTTGGATAGCTCTTGACTTTCTTTGGGAGTAATAGAGCGACATGACTCTAGGATCATGGTGTATTGGGACTGAGAGTCATGGAACCCAAGTGAGTTATGAAGAGGATTTATATGCATGGGAGGTATCGAGAGGGTTGAGGGGTACCTCTTAGTCAGGTTCTGTTATTATATTTGTGCCTCATGATTGTGTGATGGGCCAGGGCGAAATGATTTATGTGTTTATGTAATTGTGTGATATGAGCTCGATGATGAGATAGCCTTGCACGGGAAGCTTATGGCCAATAGAGGGCATTGGAAAAATCCCCGACACTTATGGGTCGTTTGGGACACTAAGATATGCAAATCCAGGTTTTGTGTATCTAGGTTTTAATGGCCTAAGGTTGTTTGGGTGTAGTTTTTGAGATCATATCCTGGATATCGACATCCTCAAAACCACTCATATCCAACATTTGCTCATTCCGAAAAAACTTGGAATGAGCAAATGCAAGGTTTTTGGAAAGCTAGCGTTTGTATTGGGACACGTGCATCCTCCTCCTTTTCATTCTCCTTATTATTATTATTTATTATTATTTTTAGTACAATTATTATTATAATTATTATTCCAAGTATTTTGTTATAAAATATCAACATTATTAACATTAGTATTAATATAATAATATTATATTGTAATCATAACATATAAGATCATTATATTTTATTTAATATTATGTTATTGGCATAATATATTGATATCATATTATGCGAATATTAAAATATTGTATATTTTATTATAATATTTATTAATATTATAATATTATGTTAAAACTAATAAAATAAAATTTAAACATTAGATTAATATAATATCATAATATTTTATTATATTAATGTTGTATTATGTGCATATTAAAATATTGTATCTTTTATTATGACATTTATTAATATTATAAACTTTCAAAAAAACATTTATTAATATTATAATATTATATTAATACTAACAAAAATAAAATAAAATCGTTAGAACCGTCTTGTAGCATGTGGATAAACAATCGCAATTCATGGGAAGCTGCTTCTCCGGGGATCCACTGGTAAGACGTAGGCACATATGCCAAGAGAGGAACCCCTGCACCATGTGTGCACATGTTATCTAGGGGGTGCACTAGAAATCAACCTATACTGATTCAAGGTCATTCATTGGTTTGACTTTGATAGGCTAATATCATGAGCCTTTGATTATACATTGTGGATTATGAGTCTGTTGCATCATATCAAGAAGGTGGCACTTCAGTGGGAGTACACTGTGTCTGACTGACCTAGGTTGAGTGATTTATGGCCCGGGTTCATGTCCATAACCCTTATTCTTGGACATGTGGCACCACCGTTGAGGGTTTATCGTGGACCATCCCTTGCTGAGGTAGGAGAGATACCTAGGGATGTTGTTTATAGGCCACTAGAGCTGTGTGGTCTACTTAGTGCCGAGGAAGGGCCTGTGAGAGGAAGGGCCAAGTCCTTGATAAAACTTTTGCATTATATACATATGACAACCGCATTTTGGAAAGCAACCCTATATAGAAGAACGCATGTACATGTGCATAGAAGACAATAGTGGGTCATGGATCCTTGCATAGGTGGAGTCCTCTGATATTCAATTATTATTTGACCTATAGGATACCTATTCACTTCTAAGTTGTATTTCTGTATGTTTTAGATTTTTGTGGAACTCCAAAATTATTGTTTTCACTTAAAAATGCGTTACTGTGAATTTTAGATATTTTCAGAATTTTAAAATATTTTATTTGCTTAAAAATGCCCTTAAAGGGTTCTTCTGGAATTTTAAAATTACAAGGGCATAATGGTATAATCATTATCTATTAAATTGTGTGACACCCACGTGGAGGGACTAAGGACCCAACTCCTCATGTGTGGGGCCCCACATGGGGGGTGTCACGTGCAACCCACTAGGGCCACCTGTCCCTCTTTATGGGATGCCCCATTTTATTTCGCACATGTTATTTTATTTAAGATAAAAATATCTTATTATGTGTCTTCGAAATTTTCTTACTGATGAAAATATTCTTTAAGAAAATCTTTTTGTGTAATTCTAGAAGATTATGATTGACTGGTCAAAGTTCTAGATAAATTCTAAGTGGATATGGGTCAAATGTTAGGAAATTAGATTCCTAAAGATTAACCCTAGATCATGATGGCTGATCTTATATATGAATGGCTCAGATTAAATCTTCTCGCTCACCTAATAATCCTAAATAATATTGAACTCCTAATCTGATTGGGACTGCCTAAGCCCTAGAGGCCTATATATAGGGAGGATCTCCCCGTCATTCATCACATTGAACCTCTCCCTTCTCTCTCTTCTCCCCACGCCTCTCTCTCTCTCTCTCTCTCTCTAC